GGGGTCAGGGACAATCCCAGCGAAAACCTCAGGGAATTGGGAACAATTCCTGCGGGGTCAGGGCCGACCCCAGAATTCCCAAATTCCCCCAAATTCCCCCGAAATGCCGGGATTACCTCGAGCTGCCCCTCCTCGGTGCAGGCGTGCAGTTTGAAGTGGCGGATGCTGATGGCCGAGATGACGTGGCCCTTGCGGCGCGAATCGCACGAGCAGTGCGGGAACAGGATCTCGTTGTAGCCCTCGCACGTCCGCAGCATCGTCAGGTACTGCAGGAAAAATGGGATTTAGTGGGGTTTATTTGGGTTTAATGGGATTTATCAGGGTTTATTGGGGTGTATTGGGGCTTTTATTGGGGTTTATGGGGGTTCTGGGTCGCACGAGCAGTGCGGGAACAGGATCTCGTTGTAGCCCTCGCACGTCCGCAGCATCGTCAGGTACTGTGGGGAAACGGGGTTTAGTGGGGGTTATTGGGATTTATCGGGGTTTATTGGGGTTTATCGGGGTTTATTGGGGGTTATTGGGGTTCTGGAAGGGGATTTCAATGGGGTTCTGGGTCGCACGAGCAGTGCGGGAACAGGATCTCATTGTAGCCTTCGCACGTCCGCAACATCGTCAGGTACTGTGGGGAAACGGGGTTTAGTGGGGGTTATTGGGATTTATCGGGGTTTATTGGGGTTTATCTTAGATTTATTGGGGTTTTTATCGGGGTTTATTGGGGTTCTGGGTCACACGAACAGTGCGGGAACAGGATCTCGTTGTAGCCCTCGCACGTCCGCAGCATCGTCAGGTACTGCGGGAACAACAGGGTTTAATGGGGTTTAGGGGGATTTATTGGGGTTTATTGGGGTTTATTTTAGATTTATTGGGTTTTTTTATTGGGGTTTATTGGGGTTCTGGGTCGCACGAGCAGTGCGGGAACAGGATCTTGTTGTAGCCCTCGCACGTCCGCAGCATCGTCAGGTACTGCAGGAAAAATGGGATTTAGTGGGGTTTATTTGGGTTTATCGGGGTTTATTGGGGTTTATTTTAGATTTATTGGGGTTTTTATCGGGGTTTATCAGGGCTCTGGGTCACACGAGCAGTGCGGGAACAGGATCTCGTAGCCCTCGCACGTCCGCAGCATTGTCAGGTACTGTGGGGAAACGGGGTTTAATGGGGTTTATTGAGGTTTATTGGGGTTTTTATTGGGGTTTATGGGGGTTTATTGGGGGTTATTGGGGTTCTGGAAGGGGATTTCAATGGGGTTCTGGGTCACATGAACAGTGCGGGAACAGGATCTCGTTGTAGCCCTCGCACGTCCGCAGCATCGTCAGGTATTGTGGGGAAATGGGGTTTAATGGGGTTTAGTGGGGTTTAATTGGGACTCTGGGCATTTATTGGGGTTCTGGAGAAGGATTTTGGGGATTTCAATGGGGTTCTGGGTCACACGAACAGTGCGGGAACAGGATCTCGTTGTAGCCCTCGCACGTCCGCAGCATCGTCAGGTACTGCAGGAAAAATGGGATTTAGTGGGGTTTATTGGGGTTTAATGGGGTTTATTGGAGTTTAGTGGGGTTTATCGGGGTTCTGGAGGGGGATTTC